AAAAAAAAAAAAAAAAAAAAAAAAAAAAAAAAAAAAAAAAAAAAAAAAATACAAGATGGGGCGAGGAAGGGATAGACAACAAATGAAAAAATGAGCTATAAGCGAAGCCCCTCAAAATAGCAAGGAACCAAAATCTAATGCCCCTTCTCCCTTGATCCACATGCTGATCACAAAGAATAGAAAGAAGGATCACTACCTTTAACGCCTCCCTATCAAATTGAGAAAGCTGAAACCTTAAAGACAAAGATGAGGATGGATCAGAGGCTAGACAATGCAACCAACCAAAAATATACAGTCAAGTCATCACCAATCGAACACCTAACAAGAGAAAAGAAAGGAAGACCAAAGGCAATAGCTAACGAGAGATGTTTAGAAGGCCTATTGGTACCACCACTACAACCCACTCAAAAGGGTCTGGGCCATATCTGCTAAGGATAACTGCCACAAAGTGTCCAATTTCATGGCACGAAGTGTCCGACTACATTAAGAATCGCACAACCATTAGACAGGAGAGTCTCATTACTTAACCTCAAATCCCATATTCCAAGCCCTCCTAACTCCATAGGCTTAACCATCGCCTCCCAACTGACAAGATGAGACCCACCCAGCTCCTCCTTAACCCCCTTCTCACAAAAAAAAATCCTCATCACTCTCACAAGTCTCTCTCTAACCAAAGAGTGAATCTTAAAGATCGAAAAGAAATAACAGGGAATCCCACTCAAGACCGTCTGGGGTAAGCATAACACCTTTAGAAAAGAAATTTTTTTCCAAGAGACAAGACCAGCTTCCAAAATTCTTGACACCTTGAATTTCCACCAAGCAATAATGATTTGTGCGGCAGGTAGCCCTGTCCAAGAATTTGTTAGAATCTAGTACTTTGGCCCATAGGAAAGATTTGTGTTATGCAAATTCCGTTGACAAAATTCAATGGGGAAAAAAAGAGAAATGAACCAGATCAATATATATAATGCACATAGGTGGGAGAGTTAGGTTACAAGAACATTCTTCAATGCTGGTGGCACGTAGGGGGAAATGAAGAAATCTAATATGAAAAGAGGAAAAATCAAAATACATGAAAAGAGAATCGGATACTATTTGTACTGTATCGGAGATGAATCTTGGCCATTTGGAAAATACCAAGAATTTAAAAAGATGCCTACAAGTTCTAATAAATTAATAAAGATGCAGATAATGTAGTCTCTTTCAACCCCTTCCGTAAACAATGGAGTTCATATTAGTCATCCACAAACTAGTCTACCTTCATCAATAGCTTCTAGGTCCACTGGTATTACCACTCTCATCTCTTCCTTATTCTCAAGCATATTCCCTGTCATTATTGATCCCTTTAGTACTAACTCTATTAAGTTCAGTAGAGGGTTGGCGAGAATTTCAAATTGTTGCCATAATTAATTCTTTGTTCCTTCCTGGTTCAAAGTGAAGAATTGGTCATATAGCACATCATGTGGCTCAAAATTGAGCTATAAGAGTTTTTTCAAGTCCATCCACGAAAGAATTGAACTTCATCCCATGAAACTAGGCTGGTGCATCATTGGTCATACTAGTTTCAAAAGGCACAAGTTGCATGTGAAGCGCCTTGCCTCAAAAAATCAAGGAGCCGGTAGGAAGGCACAACCAAGGCACGCGCCTTCCATGAAACCCCTAAGACGCTCAACACACATCCAGGGCTTATTGAATTATTTTTTTAATTTTTAAGTAAAACAGTACATATAGGTTAGTTGTTATTCAAAAATTTATTAAAACCCTAAACACAAAGGCTTTTGTATTTAGGATTTTACGTTTATTATAATTATTTCATTTCTCCCCCTTCTTCAAATCGACGTCGCCTCGAAACCACACAACCGCTTGCCAATTCCTTGTCGTTGCTGTAAACACTGTTTGTCATCGCTATGTTTTCCCTCTCTGTCTAGTTTCTTCTTCTTCTCTCTCTATCTTTCTGCCAGCTCTCTCTCGGCCTTTGTTCTCCTCTCTCTTTTTCTAGATCGGATGCTTCTTGCTCTCTATTTCACTCCTAACTTGATTCCCCTCTCTCCATCTCACTCTCAGTTTTTAATTAGTATCGTTTTCTCTCTAACTATTGTTATTTTCTTAAGTTAGAGTTAGTTAGTCTAAGATTCTAATATGAGATAATTAATTTGATCGACCAGGTTGGTTATTGGTAACTTGTTAGATGGCTGAGGATAGTCTAAGAAAAGATCTGGATGGAAATATGCTCGTTTGAATAATGTTGAAAATATAAATGCATTAGTTTGTGGCTTTTGATCAAATGTAACAAAAGGAGGGGTTTATAGAATGAAACAACATGTTGGTGGCTATAGAAATGCAACGGCATGTAGAAAACGTCGGAAGAAATTAAAGCATATATGACCAAGAATATTTGACTCTATGTTCAAAGACTAATACTTTAACCTTATTTATTGGGTTGAAACTTCATTCCTTCCCATGAAGGATTTTTTTTTTTATTTGACTCTATGTTCAAAGACTAATACTTTAACCTTATTTATTGGGTTGAAACTTCATTCCTTCCCATGAAGGATTTTTTTTTTTATTTGACTCTATGTTCAAAGACTAATACTTTAACCTTATTTATTGGGTTGAAACTTCATTCCTTCCCATGAAGGATTTTTTTTTTTTTTTTTTTTTTAATTGTGTGTATATATACCTTATTTTTTATATATAGTGTGCCTTGAGCCTTGCGCCTAAGCCCCAGAAGGCCATAGCACCTTAGTGCGCCTTGAGCCTTTAAAACATTGGGTCATACTCAGAATTATTATTTCTTTTTTCCATTCACTTATCTGAATAAACACCACTCTATGAGAAATATCTAACCATCAAGATTGTTTCCTTCCAACCCTTTTTTTTTTCGGGGGGGGGATAAGAAACCAAGCTTTCATGGAGAAAATGAAAGAATACAAGCCCAAAACTAATTACAAAAGGGACTTCAAGCCAAAAGAACAAGACCAAGGTCATACAAAACGACCTCATGGCAAACACCCAAAAGAAGGAATTGAACATAACAATCTCCCAAACCTCCTCATCCAACTTCTCTTTATTTCTAAGAAACTTATTGTTCTTCTCAAACCAAATACTCAAAAACCCTGCAAAGGAACTAACCTGTCACAACACTTTGTCTTTATCTGTAAAGGAAGAATGCAAAACACACCTCCTCCAACATAGATATTTGATCTCCAACACCATAACTTCTCTAACTTTAATTGGCACTCAACTCAGCTCACTCAATTCCCTTTTCACACTTTCCAACTAGTTCAATTAGTTGTTTCCCCTTTGCAATGTCTACTATCCGTGGCCTTGTTGGGTATCCTCTCCATATACTCCATGTGCATTAACGACACTCATTCCATCTAAAAGTGCTACAATGTTCTTCTCCATTTAACAGTTTCTTCAACTCCCCGAACATGGTTCCCATTTGCATATTCGTTTCTACAATTCTTTTATTTGTAAGAAGTCAAACATTCATCGTGTAAAATGAAAGAATGTACAAGATTATACAAAAATCAAGCCCACGAAAAGAAACTCACAACTAATTGTAGGAAGGAATTCCAATCCAAGATAATAAAACTAAAATTATAATACAAATAACCGGATGGACAGGTGCCCATAAGGAGAATTTAACCTAACAACCGCCTACCCCCCCCCCCCCCCCCCCCCCCCNTTTGATGTGCTTTTCTAGCCAAATCCCCACAAAGTTGCAACAAAACATGTCTACCACAGAATTTTGCCTTTACCGCGAAAGGGAGAATTCGGGAGGATCTCCTTGATTATAGATCCAGCCTCTACTTCGAGCTAAGTGACGACCAAAAGAACTTAGGCACTAGCTCCAAAGGGAATAAGCAAATTGGTAACCCCAAAACAAATTATTGATGTTCTCCTCCTACCTCAAGTAAAGAATACACAATTGTGGATGAAATACATGGATAGAATATAGGGTGTTCACCATCCCACGCAACACCTGCCAACCAAAGAACTTCATTTTTTTTTGGGGGGGGGGGGAGGGGGGATCCAAACCTTTTTGTGTTCATTGCAACAATTCAACTATCCATTTTCCTCACCCATGACATGCCCAAAAGCAAAGCTCTGATAGCACTTTAACAGATCCAAGCAAACGTATAGTTAAATATATGCTTTTGTATTGCATATCCATGTATATGCTTCTTAGTCTGCCATGCACAAAGGGTTTAAGGTTCCTATGCAGGTACTAACTTAATTCATGTAAAGGTTCACCCAATGTTAAGTTGCCAAAATACTTTCGGGTGCCACAAGTCTGACTATGGTATAATTTACTCTGAAGACGTTCAAAAGTCCTAGGCATATTGGATTTTAAAAACAAATGAATTTCTTGCTAGTATGCAATTTCAGATGCTCCTATTCCAATACATACGACAACCTAAAACTCAGTGAAAGGAAGTCTAGTTATTATTTACCAAAACTGTGAAGAAACGGACTAACGTACAAGTTAACGAGAGCAAGACCGAGTAGAAGCGTGCTAACGTACAAATTGAGGAGAAGAGGAATACCTTCACAAAAAGCCTCTTGTCATGCCCTGTTGCTGCGACTCTCAGTACAGACTCAGCCGCACCTATGGTATTGGCTAACCAAGCTATCATACTATTAGCAGTATCCTGCGAAATTTGCCACTCAAGTGGATCCACAGGTACACTGAAAATCAATTGAATTTTGGCTTACAGGCTAGAGTTCAAGATCACAACGACGATAAAGATACGCATAAAGATGGAGGATCTAAGTTCAACAACATTCCTTAAAAGAAATCCATAAAAATTGAAACCGACTAATATTTCCGCTGACATTGAATTCTCCAATCAAGAAAATACCCTACAAGCATAGAGAAAAACAGGAGTATGCTTACGAGACATTCATATGGCGGAAGAGAAGGCCGAGAATGGCGAGAGAGCAAAGGAGAACGATGAAAACATCCGCGACGAGGGAGAGGAGACTGGAATTTCGATAAGCGCAATGGTAATAAACCAATGAACCGCAAATCAGAGCTACAAGGGGTTTGCCTACTTCTGTCTTGCAGCTGATGGAGCGATTCGCCATTTCTGCGTCCTTCAAGCTCTCGCTCCTCCCCTCAATTTGGTTCATCGTCAACCCTCAGTGAATTGCCGATTCAAAATACTATTCGTCAACCGGTAACGCCCCCATTCTTTTTAATTAAAAATAATAATAATAATAAATTAAATTAATTATTTTTTTTAATTTTTATTAAAAAAAAATTTTTGCCCCCTTAAATTAGTGCAAGTTAATTTATTTATTTTAAATTTTGTAATAATTTAATCTAATAATTTAATTCGTATATTTTAATATTTGGAAGGAAATTTATGAATAAGATTAACAAATTTTTAATTATATATAACTATTAATAATTTTCTTATAATTAAGACAAAATAATTACCAGTTTTAAAGGGTAAGAACTAAATTTTTACCGACCTTCGGTAGTAATCTAGGCCCATTAAGCGTCGTTCAACCTAGCAACTCGCTCTATGTCATCTCCAATGCCCGACTTGCATGTGGCTTGTGGAAATCATACAATTCGCATGCCGCTCCCCCGATTTTTATTGGCTTCCATTTGCTAACGATCGGCTTGTTAGTCAATTCAACTTCCGTTCTTACTCCAACCCGATAGTTAGGTAGTTGTAGTTTTATCAATGAGTTTTAAGATCGATTCCTCGTACATTTTGAATGTCATGTGTGAAATTGAACTTCATTAAGGTTAATTTAAGTTTTGGTTATTTCATGAAAATCGAGATAAATTGGACTATGGTTATTGAAGTAAGATTATTTATTGTTGGAATGATTGTTGGATGCATGAATAACACATCCCCGGGATTAAAATTATGTGTCAATTGAATGGAATGGTTCTTTATAATTTATGTGATACGTGTGTGATCGATCATGACTTTATATGATTATGTATATGTTATATAAGATATCATGACCTGGAAATGTCTCACGCAGATAGACACAGTAACGACCCTCAAATGGCAATCATCTGGTCACATGAGAGTTAACATAGACAAGTGTCGTGGTGCGACCAAAGAGGATGATGTATCGTCCAACACATCAAGAAGAGTATATTAAAGCTAAGTTGAGGCATAAGCAAGATTGGAGGCAATGGGTAGACAAGAGTGACGAAGATAAGCTTGAAGAAAGTAGGAGCCGTAACCTCAAAAGTAGGGGTTTTGACATACGACTTTGGAGTTAAGTATGAAAGATGAAAGTTTATCAAATTTGGTGTCAATCGGACAACCGACGTCACTCCACGGCACTAGATGACCGCTCGCTAAAATCACATCTACTTCTATCATATAAAAAATGCCTTAAAAATAGCGGAAGGCATGGTGTCAACTCTCTACTACTCCTGGACCTTGTGGCCTATGTGAGCTACCCCACAACACATATATGTGTTATGGTGTGGGCGAATGTTACAAGACGAGCATCTTGGACATTTTCCTTTGAAAATTACTTTTTCGAGGACAGTGTTGGACAATATGGGTGTTGGCATTGCATCCTATAGCCCATGAGTCAAAGGTTGGTGATATGAACCACGACCAAGGAATTTTCATACCTCAAGGTCCAATTACAAGTACGAGAGCCAAGAAGCTACAACAAACCTTGTACATTTATATTCAAGTTATGATTAGCTCATCAAAGAAAATTCCAGAAGACGTTGGAGACCTCCCTTATATGTTGTGCAAAGTTGAGCTTCAAGAAAGAGATGCATTAAATGCACTTTAAGTTACACTTTAATGAACTCAGCTGAATTTATGAAACTAATACAAGAGGACTAATAAGCACATTTAATTCGTTGCATTATTTAATTATAATTTAAATATTGTTTATTATAATTTAAATATTGTTTGTCATATTTAAGCTAGTTTTTAATACAGGAGTTAAAGTTATATTGTAACCCACCATAGGTTACCATATTCCACAGTTAACGACCATTTTAATATGGAGGTCATGGGTATTTCTCATTTACTGCCAATTTAATTTGTGAGTTATGTGTCACATAGATTAAGGCTGTATAGGCTATCTAAAGTCTTCTCTTCTTTGATCAGAAATATCACATTTTGAAATTACAAAGAATAGAATTTCTATTTTTTTTTAGCTTCGTTGGAGAGCTAAGATTTTATTTGCACATTCTTGTGTTTAGAACTTGCATGCTAGACTCATTCAAGTGGTATTGATCAAACCTCTTGTGGAGTGATTTGAATCACGAGTTTAGAAACAAGTTTTCTTTACTCTTGATCTTGATCTTGATCATCAAGGTAATCCGTTCTATACTTTTCCTCGGGTTGATTTCATATCAGTTGGTATATGAGGCTACTCTCCGATACAATGTCAAAGAAGGATAGATCTTCGAAGTGTCTTGACAATAAAGGCGACTCATGTGTCGTTTCTTGATAAGTGTGCCTCGAGTGAGTAGCAAAAGCCCATGTCCCAAGACTTGGGATGGTGTCACAAACCATGAGCCGTTTTGTTGGGCATCACAACGTCAAAATGAGTCGCAACATTGCATTTGAAGGACATTAATCTAGAGTAGAGGAAAAGTTGAATCGATGACTTGCCCTAGAGTACGGACAAGCTGGCTAGAGTTGCAACGAGAGAATATGCATGCACAAATGGTGTATATGGCCGAACGATCTTAGTTTTCACATGAATTGTGTTCGACTGGTGAGAGAGAACCACAACTAAGGTTCGATAAAGCCACAAACCGAGACGAAAAATAGAAATAAGGCTTGAGTTCTCCCTCGAGCTTGTTATGAGCATGTCAAGATCATAATGTTCTACGGTACAAAAAGGCAGGGACGGTTAAAAAATAATTTATTAAAATTTGAAATAAAAATAATTTATTAAAACAGAAACGAAGAAAAATCCCCAAATAAAACCCACTCAAACTCCATTGCCAGACTTCCCAGTCTCTCAAATCCACAAGAACACTCACTACCCATTGCCAGGCCAGTGGGAGAATTGGAAACCCACACCACAAATTCGAACTTCGCAGCAACTAGAATGCGGCACAGATTTTCATTTACAGCATTCTCCATAATCTTCTTCGTTTTTGTTTTTGCTCACCAATCCGTTCTCTGCAAAACCTTGAAACGAGATGGTATCTTCTCATGTTCTTCTTTGCGATCTTTCTCAAGGTTTATTTGGTTGAGTTTTACTCTAGGGTTTTATTGTTCTTTCTCTTACAGTGAAAGCATTGAATGAGATCAAGGCCTCTCTCGGTTGGAGAGTGGTGTATTCCTGGGTTGGAGATGATCCCTGTGGTGATGGCCACCTTCCACCTTGGTCCGGCGTTACCTGTTCCACTCAAGGGGATTACAGAGTCGTCACTGAATTGTATGCCTATCTTCAACCGAAACTTCGATTTCTTTTCTCGTTCCCTGTAATTGTTGCTTTATCATAAATTTACAGCTACTTCATGAGACGGATTGCTTTGGGAAGTGCGATTTTCATATTTATTTCTGATCATTTCTTTGCAGAGAAGTCTATGCGGTTTCAATCGTTGGATCTTTTCCTGTCGCGGTTACCAATCTCTTGGATCTTACTAGGCTGTGAGATTTCTTCTTTCGCTGATTTTTGTCCTAATTTATTCTTCTTTTTACTCAAACCATGGTGATTATGAACTGGGAGATTGATACGTGGATAAGCTTTCTTGACAATTCATCAATTGTTTTTATCCTCGTGCTATACTCTTACTCTTGTACATTGTTTCTGTCTTCTGGTAATGAGGTTAGACGAACACGACTTTTTACAATGGTATGATATTGTCCACTTTGAGCATAAACCCTCATGGCTTTGCTTTGGTCTTCCCCAAAAGGCTTCATACCAATAGAGAGAGTATTCCTTGATTATATATAAACTCATGATCATCCCAACATCTCCCCTCGAACAAAGTACGCCTCCCCTTAATCGAGCCTCGACTCCTTTTTCTTTTGGAGTCTTAGTCATTTTTGACTATGCCCTTCGAGGAGACTCGACTCCTTTTCTTTTGGAGTCCTTTGTTCGACTGAGGATTTACCAATCTTTTGGCACAACTAAGTTTAGGGTATGACTCTGATACCATGTTAGATGAACACGACTCTCTACAATGGTATGATATTATCCACTTTGAGCATAAGCTCTCATGGCTTTACTTTGGGCTTCCCCAAAAGGCGTCATTCCAATGTAGAGAGTATTTATTGATTGTAAACCCATGATCATTACCTAAATTAGCCGATGTGGGACTTTCATCATCCAACAACAAGGAGCCAATTTCTAACAATTTCATATTCGACATTTAGACTTCTGTGTTACTTATTTTGTTTATGGTTGTGTTTTTGAAAATTGAACTTTAAAAACTACATGTACCATTTTTTTTTCTTTCAAGTTTTCACTCTTAGAACACTTTTCATTTTAGCCGAATTTGTAGGATAAAAACAAGTTTTTGAAAACTATGGTCTGTTTGCTAACAGTCTGGTTTTTGGTTTTGAAATTTGGGTTTGTTTTCTTATTATTTCTGGCTTCATCTTTCTTAAGAAAATATTTGAATTCTAAGCTAAGTTATCTTAGTTTCGTTTTTGAAAACATATGTAAAGGAAAACAACGAAACAAACAATCCCCCATATGGAGTAGTATTGACAAGCTTGATTTTCAAAAACCAAATGAAAATTAAACATGTCCTACATTTTTTTTATATAGATTTTGGCTAATGATTCTAAAGAATTTTGAAAGTAGATCAAAACACAGAAACTGTAGTAAAAAAGCATAATTTTTAAAACGGAAAGGTTATTTAAATGGGCCGTTATGATGTTCTAGGTAGTTTCGCTCTTTGGCCAACTCTTGCATTTTCACATCCCGGTGATTCACTAATCTGCATATAATTATTGCTGGATACAGACATTCTTTTGCTTCGAATGCCATCTAGTGTTATTTTCTTTATTGTAGATTCATTAACCCTTTTTATAATTTAAATGGAAAATTGCACAATTTGAATTATGAAGTTTGTTGCAATAATACCCTTGAACTTTTAATTTGATCAATCACCCTCATGTACGTTGTTAAGCGTTGCAATTACACCCATGTATTTTTAACTTCATCTGTTAGTCCCTTTACTTTATTAAGTACTGCAATAAGACTCCTTTGCAACACTTAACAAAGTTGAAGATCATGGGTATGATTACAACATTTAAAAACCCATACTTAACAAAGTACAGGAACTGGTTAACAAAGTACAGGGACTGGTTGATCAAATTAAAAGTTTTAGAGTGTGATTGCAACAAACCTTATAGTTCAAGTGTGGTTTGTGCAATTTTTCCTAATTTAAATAAAAGGGGTTAAGAGGAGTATGTATTTGCACCTCTTCAAGATAGTTATCATTTGTATGCCTGCGTTTGTTCTTATAACAGGGATCTTCATAATAACAAGTTGACTGGACCAATTCCTCCTCAAATTGGACGGTTAAGGCGCCTCAAAATACTGTATGTCCATGTGCATTTTTTAAAAATCATTTATCTGGTTCAACTATGTATGTGATATGTACATGTGGTGGTTCATGATTCAGTTGCTGAAATCTCACGTTTTGTGTTTTTTTTAATCTGCCTAGTTGATTTATAGTTTTTTGTCTTCCCTTTCTCAGTAACTTAAGGTGGAATAAACTTCAAGATGTCATCCCTCCCGAGATTGGTGCGCTAAAGAGTCTAACTCATTTGTGAGTAATTTTAGTTTCTACTACACATAGTTTGATCTATATCTTTTCATTTTCATCTATTGACATCTGTTGCCATTTTGAGATTATGCAGATATTTGGGTTTTAATAATTTCAAAGGGGAAATCCCCAAGGAGCTTGCTAATCTTCGGGAGCTTCGCTATCTCCATTTAAATGAAAATCGCCTTTCAGGAAGAATTCCTGCTGAACTGAGCACCCTCCCCAATCTTCGTCACCTGTAAACTTCTGTTATTTGGATCATTTTGTTTTGGAAAACAATAGAATATAGATGTTTATATTTGACTTGACATTTTGATTTTGTAAGGGATGTTGGTAACAATCATTTAGTAGGAACCATCAGGGAACTTATTCGCATCGAAGGTTGTTTTCCATCGCTCCGAAATCTGTAAGCCGTGTGAAGACAGAAACCGTCTTAGTTAATTTTGTTTGAAATACTTCTTGTCATTAGTTTATTTTTATTTCTGTATGTAGGTACATAAACAATAATTATTTTACGGGAGGAGTTCCATCACAGCTTGCAAACCTGACTAATTTGGAAATCCTGTAATCTACTGACTTTTACCTCTCTATCTCCTTCATATCATCAGTTTTTTCTGACCATTTGTTTTGTTGGGTGTAGGTACCTCTCCTACAATAAGATGTCTGGAATCATACCACCTGGGGTAGCTCATATTTCCAAGTTGACTTATCTGTAAGTCTGTTCTCGATCCTTCTTCAATTTCCATATTTAATATTTGGTTGAATCTGAATTTATGTTACGCTTGTAACTGTTAGGAAGTTAGTAATTGCAAAATTTTCCCTTTCTAACGGGCAATAATTATATAAAAAACTCTTTAATAAATTTGTTATAATTTTCATGAAAATTACTATTTTTAAAATCACGCATGGGCTTGTTTGGGAATAATTAAGACACTGTGATTTTAGCATGATTAATTTGTTTATCATTAATTTATTATAAGTAATTTTCATATAATCATTTTGATGTTTGGGTTTGACATTTTTAATATCTTAGGACATGTTTAAGCTAAGTGATTGAATTATAATTAGTCTTATACAAGTGTTTAGTTATAATTAATTATGAGAACCCACAGACTAGTTGTTTTGTTAGGACATGGGAGAGTGGTTTTGGAATAGACAAATTCATTTCTTTTTTCCTTCATATGATCATTTGTTTCCTTCCTTCAGTGTCCTTTTATGAACTGCGAAGGTTTTAATTCTAGGTACTTGGATCACAACCAATTTAGTGGAAGAATCCCTGATGCCTTCTATAAACACCCGTTCTTAAAAGAGATGTGAGTGTCTTCTGTATCCTCAATTCTGAACTTAAATTTCATATCAATTGTTAGGCTGTTAGTTACTTTTCTGAGGCCATGTTCTTCATAGGTACATTGAAGGAAATGCGTTTCGGCAAGGCGTGAAGCCGATCGGTATCCATAAGGTTCTTGAAGTCTCTGATGCAGAATTCCTTGCTTGATCGGTAAGTCGAATCGAGACTATATAGCTATCTTGTTTAAATTTAGTGTGTTGGCAAAATTTGGCTCTGGATGTTGGCCATTATAATATATCTATCTATATGGAAGTAGGTAAAGGCTGTGCAATGTATATATAGGAGGATGATACATTTGTTGGAACTAAACCATATTTGTCCTAATAGAATGTAAAGTGAATTTATCCACTTGTTCTAATTGAGCATTATTCAAAGCTGAGGAATCAGGATTTGCTGAAAATGAAATATTTTAGTTTTAAAATACAAAATTAGCTAAGGTTTTCACTTCCTTTCGGGTTCAAATATTGGTCGGTATAATAGGTTTACTTTGAAATGTTTCATTTTTGCCTTTGAACTTCGAAATTTTGAGATATTTCCATTAAATCCAACCCTAGAATGTTACCTTATGTTCTTCCTTGATTCTTTGACGAATTTATTCCGGTGAAATTCAGACTCCAAACCGCCATTATTTACATTTTTCTTGTTTTTCAAGCATTTTCTTGATGTTCACAGACAGATCTTTTAAGGCTTTTAATAAAATTTTGGAAATTTGGATTTAAAAGAAAAAAATCAGATAATTAATACCTCGTCAGGACTTAGGTGCTAGAGACGTTGAAAACAATGATGTCATTAAGTAACATGTATGTGTATTTAAATAATATAATACAATGATATCATTAAGTAACATGTATTTAAATAATATAATACAATAAGACACCCAATCTTATCTATATACCATATTTTTAATGACACGATCTTTTGGGGTTGAAGATTATACTAATGGCGAAGGTTCTAATGATTATAATTAAAAAAATATTAAACGGTATGAGATGAAAATGCAGAAAATATACAAATTTAAATAAGTAAATAATAACAAAAAGTTAAATAAATAAATTTAAAAAAAAAATGTAACTTTAATTAATTAGAAATATAAAAGATCAGGCTGAGAAATTTGTTTATTCAACTCTTCCAAAACCAAGTGAATATCATCAATTTGGATGTGGGTTTTATCCCCTGCAATGAACTCAGTGACAACTCCATTGAGTTTAATGGAGCTGCAACCAGGTACCTTCTCAACCCCTTTCAACTTCATCATCTTCCTCACTCTTTTAGCATCCCCATGCTTCCCCAGAGCAGCATACATATTCGACAGTAAAACGTAAGCCCCACTATGTCTTTCCAATTCAAACAGCCTCTCAGCAGCACCCTCAGCCTGCTGCATTTCCCCATGCTTACAGCAAGCACTCAGAAAAGCCCTCCAAGCCACTGCTTCCTCTGAAGCAGTGGCTGTGTTTGGAAGTCTCTGTATCACTCCCTCCGCTTCCTCGAACCGCCCAGCTCGACTCAGCAGGTCGATTATACACCCGTAGTGTTCAGCTTTTGGCTCAATTTTGTGTATTGTACACATTTTGTTCAGTATCTTCAAGCCTTCATTGGCCATGCCTGAGTTGCTACAAGCTGCCAAAATGGCTATGAATGTTATGTCATCCGGCTTGATTCTTGCCTTCTCCATCTCCTTGAAGAGCTTCAGTGCGCCTTCTCCATCTCCATGCATTGCCATTCCTGAAATCATTACGTTCCAACAAATGGTATCTCTCTGCGGCATTTCATCGAACAGGTGCCTGGTCATGTCTAGATGCCCACATTTTGCATACATATCCATCAACCCAGTGCTCACTCGCAGAGTTAATGGCAATTCGAGATGACTCAAATACCTGTGAATCCAAATCCCAATGTCAAGAGCTCCCATGTGAGCGCAAGCACAAAGGATTGTCACAATTATGGCTTCATCAGGCTCTACTTCAGTCAGTTGCATCAGACGAAACATGTGCAGCCCCTCCTTGAAGCAATTGTTTTGCACATACCCAGATATCATGGCGCCCCATATTCCCCTATCTTTGATTGGAGCTCGGTCAAACAATCCTCTTGCGGTGTTCACATCACCCATCTTTGCATACCCGTAAATCATAACCGTCCACGACACAGCACTTAGCTCAGGCATTTCGTCGAACACCTGTCCTGCATCTCTCATGTTACCGAACGCGCAATACATAACAAGCAAAGAATTACCCACAAATACATCCAATACAAAACCCAATTTCACAGCACAAGCATGAACCGACTCTCCGAGATGAAATTTTTTAATCCTCGCGCAAGCTTTTAGAACGTAAGGATGAGTATAACTATCAGGGGCGATCTCATTTCTTCGCATTGCAGAGTATATAACAATGGCGTTGAGAAATTCACCTCGTAGAAGAAAGGCTTTGATCATGGTGTTGCAGATGCAAATGGTTGGGTGTTGAATGTGTCGGTAGAGTTTCAATGCATGAGAAAGGCTGCCATGGCGTGGTTCTGCACAAAAATCCAACAATCTGCTTAACGCGAAGCTGTTGCTGCCGAGTCCAGATGTAAGAACCTGCGCATGAGCTTGCTTTAGCTGCTTCATATTTCTGCATTTTTGCAGCAATAAAAGACATCTCGTAGAACTATTTGACATGGGGAGCGCCTTCAATGGCTACCATCTGATCTGATTTCTTCTTAACTTACGATAAAATGTATGGATCTATTCGTAACTCTCTCCATTGCTTTATCGACCAAAATCAACTTCTGCTCCTTCCTCAATCAGAAGCTCACACAGTTCTGAGTCCCCTGTTCTAAGCTCGTGTTTGACCAGAAATCGTGACCCGTTAACCCGCGCACGACTCGGTTCAGCACCTACAACTTGAACCGACCGGCCCGCCCTCTCGTGAGCTTATGCGTGTGGCTGTACGTGTGGAAATGCTTCCAGTTGGGCGTGAGGGCGCGTAGAGGGCGTGGATGCTGTGTTTGTGTTTTGGTCCAGTTCGATTGTTTTTCATCCCGATTTCGATACTAACCCTCATTTTACTTGAATTAAGATCTACGAGTGAGTTTTGAAGACAATGGGAGACCACGCTTCATCTTGGTTAGTAACCACACAGACTCGATGCAATTAATTCTTGTACGGATGGCTAGTATGCTAGCACGCGAGCCTTCCTCACTTTTAAGTGGTTTGAATATTCATGTTTAGGACTTCAAAAGGACAATTTTAGATAAGAATGCATGGTTTGTCTTTTCGAAAAAATTACCATTATGCCCCTATGATGAGATTACGAGATGCATGGTGATTTTATATTTACTGCAAAGAACTAGTAAGAGAAAATGCATGATTAGATTATGAGTTTAGCAATATGGACGAGTATGCTATGTATGATGCAAGAAATTACCAAAATGCCCCTATGATGATATTTGTGACGAATGCTATTTTATATGTTTTCCACTACGTTAGAAAGGAGAATGATTTATTGTGATATATGTTCCAGGTGATTGAAAGATGTTATCTCTCCGTTGAACTTGTTTGTATGAATGGTTTTGCTTATGTGATTAGTACTATAGATGATTGATGAGAATATCTACCTAGTAAGTTATGCTTACAGGAAGAGATTATGTTTCCCGTGCTTTAGGTGTGATCGATAGAAATATCTCCCTAGCAAAGCATGCATGAGTGAACCAAGTTAAGAATAGGATGCTAAAACTAAACCAATTTTTACGTTGACCGAGGTCATTACATTTCCTATAAACCGAGTACCCTAAGATCGTGAGTGGCGATCATAAGTCTTGACCTGAGGATTGGTTTAGCTCTGCGATATAAAAACCTAGAAGCCCCAAAAACCTCATAAATCTCGACGACACCAAAGGGAAATTATGAGAACTTATGAGTTTGTTAGCAATGTTGACAAATCAATTTGAGGAGTTACTATTGTGTGTAGAATGAAACCCACGTAGGTAGATAGGGGATAAGGGACTAGATAAATAGTTGATATGAAGAGTCACTATTGTGTGTGGATTAAAACCACCTTGAGAGGGGAGGAGGAGCTACATAAACAAATGACATAATTAATTGCTACTTTGTGTAGAATGAAACCTATCGTGTGTAAAATATAACGTGCCGTGAAGATGGTTAGGGGCGCACGTGGGTCGTCGAATTGGTCAGGTCGTGTTCTTGTGTGCGCGGGTTGCTGACTGGGTTGTGTAACGTTGTGGGTTGATGCAGATGGGTATCTTACCTGAATTCGAGTATGATAGACCTCTTCCTCCTCTCCCAATTTCTTCAAAAACTGACTGCATTTCTCTCTCTTCCCAAGAGTTTTAGGCGTCCTTCTCCTACAAACGTGATTATTTTTACATTTCAGTTTACCAAAATTGTATGTTCACTGGCGTTGAAGGAAAAATCCAAGAGATGATGTGGGCACGAGTATCTTACCGTTTGTACGCTCAGAGTCGTTGGTTGTTTACTACCCAGTGTGTCTCGCTCTTTATATCGTGCTAAACACGAGTTCTTTAGTCTTGTCTGCTCGTTTTAGTCTCATTCTCTCATATAATAAGGATGTATTGAGTGGGTAGAATGGGGTTGAGGGTGATTTTAAAAAGGGAATGATCTGGGTTGGGTCGTGCGATATCTCGTGGCTGCACCCACCGGAAATCGATTTCTAGCAATGGTTGACTGTCTTTTTTTTAATCTATTATACAGCTACATGCATGCTAGGCCATGCAAGGCAATGACTATATCAATGTCAGATGGGATAGGTTGGGAAATTGGGCAGGATGAGGACGGAGAATATAATCCCCATCCCTACCCTATTTATCTGACTGACAAAAATCTCTCCTCACTCCCTCCCCATTTCTTGTATCAATAGGGAATTCAAAAATCTCTCCTCACTCCCTCCCCATTTCTTGTATCAATAGGGAATCTCCGCCCTGTTCAAATCTCTCCTCACTCCCTCCCCATTTCTTGTATCAATATGGAATCTCCATCTCTCCTCACTCCCTCCCCATTTCTTGTATCAATAGGGAATCTCCGCCCTGTTCGTGGCAAGTCCCCACTAGGCCCCGACACTGCGGGTTAAATAGATATATCTAGTCGATATTATATGGACAAGGTTGAGTGTCTTGTCATGGTAACACTATTGATCGTCCTAGTTTGTAATTGTTACATATTATTAGATCTAAATCATTCATAATGACATGTGAGTGAAAGTATCATATACAATGAATTTATATAAGACTGACTATGAAATATTTAATCTCTTTTATAAATCCATTAATTTAGAATATTAATATTTTATAGAAAGATTATAAGCGACTCGATTCACTTTGTAAGGCTTGTCCTTTGATTTGTATGTATGAGAGTGACTTTTATAGTTGAGATTTGTATGCATGAGAGTGACTTTTATAGTTGAGATTTGTATGCATGAGAGTGACTTTTATAGTTGATTCAATAAAAACTAGTTTAGAGACTTGACCAAATAGGGAGCTGGAGACATAATTTCACGAGATGAAACATAGACCACATTAACAAGCAATAACATACACAATTGTTCGTATATGAACATTTATTTGTCATATCATCATTCATTTCAAGAGCTCATAATTTTATATATTATGACATTTGTTATTCATACATCAAACAATTCATCCAGCCAATCAAGTAGGCATCCATCAATAAGATCACTTACCTCAAAGAACAATCAAGTAGGCATCTATCAATAAGATCACTTACCTCAAAAAACAATCAAACAGGCATCCATCAATCAGATCACTTACCTCAAAGAACAGGCATTCATTCAGATCACTTACCTCAAAGAACAGGCATTCATTCAGATCACTTACCTCAAAGAACAGGCATTCATTCAGATCACTTACCTCAAAGAACAGGCACATCCATCAATCAAAACAGGTATCCATCAATCAGATCACTTACCTCAAAGAACAGACATGAACAGGCATCCATCAATCAGATCACTTACCTCAAAGAACAGGCATTACCCCTACCTCAAAGAACAGGCATCCATCAATCAGATCACTTACCTCAAAGACATCCATCAATCAGATCACTTACCTCAAAGAACAGGCATTACCCCTACCCCAAAGAACAGGCATTACCTCAAAGAACATGCATTACCCCTACCCCAAAGAACAGACATTACCTCAAAGAACAGGCATCCATCAATCAGATCACTTACCTCAAAGAATAGGCATCCATCAATCAGATCACTTACCTCAAAGAAGGCATCCATCAATCAGATCACTTACCTCAAAGAACATGTCACAACCCAACTGGAGACCCAGTCAACAGAAACCAGTTGATTATTTATTTATTTATTTATTATTTATTTTTTTATTTACAATTACATTTCATTCTTTTCCAACTTTTTGAGTTCTTTTTAACATAATGATAAAAGTATAACATGGGCATATATGTAAATTTACATGTCTACGTACACCTCAACTGGACCAACTGGTTTGGGCCTTGATATTTATGTCACTTTTGAAAAAAACTAGACATTTTTGTAAAGTAGAATTATAAAAGATTTCAAAAATTAATTAATGGGTCGTCAAACCATTAAACGTGGACGGAAAAGTACGCATATTTCAGACAACCCCAAAATTTTCTCTGCTATCATTTAGCCTCAAACTTCAATAACAGGCAATGACCAACTTGTATAAGGTTAGGTAATACAATTGATGAGTTGGGCCCAAAGCTTCATTCAATCAAACCAACCAAAGATCTTCAAAATATAAAACTCCAGATTGGTTGGTTGTTCAAAGTCAGAAGAATTAAGAAAAGCAATAGACAAAAAGATGTTAAACAAGACATTTCATGAAGTTATATCACTCATAAGCTTTTCCAGAGCATGGAGTGCAAGGTAAAATATGAACAAAGATGGCAATGCAAACAGTAGAGTGATTAGCAGGTATAGCAGCAAGATGAGTGCACTTCCAGGGATTACAAAAATGACAATCACAACAAATATGACAACCAGTAGAAACTTGAAGATTAAATGGACGGCGTAATCCAAGTGTTTATGGAGAAACAACCGCCATCGCTGCCTCCCTATTCCAGGTAGCCTCGCAGATGCTGCATCGGTTTCGGAAGTCCGAGAAAAAACTGGTTGATTATCCCCATTGAAGGAATGTTCCAGTTTTCCCTCATTACAATTGAAGCTCTCAACCATCCAAAGAAGAATGAAGTTCTTGTTGGGAAACTTCAGGTTCCCCTTGTACACGACCCTTAGCGACAGCTGATGGCACCAAGGACAGAAGATGAAGATCGGGACTCGGATTTGACACGATGCTACTTTCAACACACAGCCTTGAAGGCCTAATACACAGTTTTTGCAGAGTGAATGACCACACCATAAGACATAAGGTATGTTCTCCACAATGTTAAAGGATTCCCAGCATATCGGGCATTCCAGTTCTTCATCTCTACTACCTTCTGAGCATACCTCATCGTCATCCGAGCACTCCCAGAAAACTTGCTTCGAAACAGCTGAGTTTTTCTTGGATCGAATGCCAGCAATGGCATTCGAGGCCATCTTCCACATCCTGACAGAACAATTGTTTCAAGAACATGACATCTGGAATAGATGTTCATGTATGAAACAAAAACTACTTGAAACAAGTCTTACAGAGTTTCCTTTTCCCAACATTCACTCCAAGAAACTAAACTCCTCAATCCCAAACAACACAGTTCTAAATGACAGATGCACCAAAAGAGCTACTTGTTGGTTGTAGATCTTAATAATATCTTTACAGATTTTGAAAATTTTGGTACCTCTAAAGTAAAATTGACGATTCAAACAGATGGTTTTACTAAAACGCAAAAAGATTTAAATCATCTCCCACATATCCAAACTCAAAACAATAAAAATAAACAAATCAAATGGTATAAATTCATCATTTGAATCGAAAATTTTAGATAAATAAGTACATGTTTCTTCCAAAGATTTCAACATTATTCACTCCTTAATGAATAGGTCGAAATTATCTGTTAGGCCCTACTCATGTAAACTCACATACTTGACAAAATAATTTAACTGGCACACTCCTTTGAAAAATCAAACAAACAAACAAAAAATCACACAAACACTTCTATGCATGCACACATGAGATAATTATGGATCAGACAGCTGCTTCCAATTCAACAATTTTCCACATTCTACAGAAGAAAACAAAAGGCCGGACAAAAATCTACAGTCAAGTCTAAAATTGCAGCGGAGCCAATGCATTTGTTCCAGGATGCAATACAGAGTCAATCGTCGATCAAAGATTCGACAGAGAAAATTCACAAAATTACTAACAAGAAAATGCATCGGAGAAATGAAATCACTCTCAAAATTCGACGAGAGAACACAAACATAAATCATAAAATTCGTAAACAGAACCGAACGAAACATCAAAATCAAAGATGAAGAGTGGAATATGGCGAATGCGGATTTACCTTCAGAGAAACTGGATGAACATGCATTGAGAAGGATTGAGAAAAACAAAAGAGGATCAAGAAAAGGATTTGGGAGGAAGGTCGCGATCTGCCCTCTTCATTTTCCCTCCGCCGGACCAAAGTCGAGGAAGCCGATTGCGTTTTGGAGGAGAGCGGATGAAGAAGGTTTGGAATACACATAATTTTTTTATTTCTTTTTCTTTTATTTGAAGAGGAAATGAAATTTAAATTTGAAAATAAAATAAAATAAATAATAATAATTATTATTAATTAAGACTTTTGAAAACCAAAATTTAATTATAAGGTACGAATTTTGTGGAGGTTGTAATGGGACGTCGTTTTGATGTGACTGCTAAAATTGACACGTGCTTTTAAGATTCAGGAGACAAAGTCAACAAGACTGATCCATCTAGTAATGTCGTTTTTATTCTATATTTATTTTTCTCTATTCACTCGCTTCACGCTTCAGAATTCAACCAATTCGGATTATTCAAATTCAAAAGCAAATGTATTTTAAAATATTGTGGAGAAACTCGTCTAAAAATGACCTATGAAAGTCTTAGATGAACACGGACTCTCTAGAATAGTATGATATTGTCCACTTTGAGCATAAGCTCTCGTGATTTTACTTTGGAGATGGAGAGAGTATTCTTTAATTATAAACCCATGATCATTCCCTAAATTAGCGGATGGGGACTTTCATCATTGTTACATATGGTATTAGAGCTAGACATCGGGTGATATGTCAACGAGGAGGCTAAGATTCGAAGCGCTGGATCCCGAAAGGGGGTAGATTGTATGATCCCACGTATTTTAGAAAAGGGAACGAAACATTGTTTATAAATATGTGAAAATCTCTCTCTAGCAAAAACGTTTTAAACATTGAGAAGAAGGTCGGAAAGGAAAGCTCAAAAAACAAAATTCTAGGTCTTATTATCAATCGAAGAGAGACACGAGTGCATTAGCTTACTCTACTAATTGAAGAATTTAGAGTTTTGATACCAATAATAGCCGTTGTTTTAGTATGCTAAGGATCCATATGTATCCACGATCCACAATTTTCAAGACGGATAAAAGTTACTCTAGGGATAACAAGCTGATCTTCTCCAAGAGATCACATCGACGACCCTTCCACTCGGCACCATCGAATCACTAAGGCCGACTTTCGTCCCTGCTCGACGGGTGGGTCTTGCAGTCAAGCTCCCTTCTGCCTTTGCACTCGAGGGCCAATCTCCGACTGGCCCGAGGAAACCTTTGCACGCCTCCGTTACCTTTTGGGAGGCCTATGCCCCATAGAAACTGTCTATCTGAGACTGTCCCTTGGCCCGTAGGTCCTGACACAAGGTTAGAATTCTAGCTCTTTTAGAGTGGTATCTCACTGATGGCTCGGGCCCCACCGGAAGGGGGCCTTCTTCGCCCTCCACCTAAGCTGTGCAGGAAAGGCCCAAAGCCAATCCTAGGAAATAGTGAAGCTTCATAGGGTTTTTCTGTCTAAGGCCCAAAGCCAATCCTAGGGAACAGTGAAGCTTCATAGGGTCTTTCTGTCCAAGGCCCAAAGCCAATCCTAGGGAACAGTGAAGCTTCATACGGTCTTTCTGTCCAGGTGCAGGTAGTCCGCATCTTCATAGACATGTCTATTTCACCGAACCTCTCTCCGAAATAGTGCCCAGATCGTTATGCCTTTCGTGCGGGTCAGAACTTACCCGACAAGGAATTTCGCTACCTTAGGACCATTATAGTTACGGTCGCCGTTCACTGGGGCTTCGGTCGCCGGCTCTCCTATCATCAGGTCTTTCACCGAGCCTCTCTCCGAGACAGTGCCCAGATCGTTATGTCTTTCGTGCAGGTCAGAACTTACCCGACAAGGAATTTCGCTATCTTAGGACCGTTATAGTTACGGCCGCCGTTCACCGGAGCTTCGGTCGCCATGGTCTTACGACTTTGCGAAGACTTATGTTTTTGGTAAACAGTCTTGAATATACATATGGCACCGTCTTAGATTCTAATAGATTATATTAATTTAATTCAATGACATTTCTATTTAATTTAGAAATAAAATATTCTTATTTCATTTAAATAAACCAATAAAATACTCTTATTTCATTTTTAATTGAAGTTTTAAGGGAATATATATTTTTTTTGCGTGAATTTTTTCTCTTCTTCCTTTTTAATATTTTTATAATGGGTAAACTATTTATTTATTAATTTAATTTTTTGTTTTATAATTTTTCAAAAATATCTATAGACATTAAAATTTTATAAATGTTATGACCAATCAATAATTTGCTTCATTTTTTAAAGACTATTGTTATTATTTCCTTGGTAGCTCAACACAGGGACTCTTTACCTGCTTATATACCCATCACCAATACATAACAAGATTCATTATGACGCGAGCTTTTGCTCATGGAGCTATATTTTTTTATTAGAGATTACAATCCAGAACATAATGAGAACAATGTATCGGCAAAAATGTTAGACTATAAAGAAGCTATCATATTCCATTTAAGTTGGGCAAGCCTTTTTCTAAGGTTCCATACTTTTGGGCTTTAGGTTCATAATGATATCATGCTTGCTTTTGAGAAACAAATCTTAATCGAACCCATATGAAGATAAGGTTATTGTTTTAATTTTGATCTTTGTTTTGTTTCGTTATTCAAACAAAATTTGATTATTTTTAATTATTTAAATAAGAAATCTCCACAAATATTATTGAACTAAAGTGGAGTATTAAGTATGTTAAGGTTTAAGAAAGATGTAATTTAAATGATTTTATTGAGATAGAATAATAGATCAATCAATAGAGATTAGAGAATGACACATAATAAGATCATAGTAAATGACCATAGTGGGCGAGATATGTGTTTGCCAACCATTTACCCAAAACAATCTCTGTTTCCGTATTAAAATGACCACGATCCCACGAAAAGCCTTCAAATGTGGTAAAGTTTACCGGCAACTCCCGAGAGTCGATAGTAATGATGTCTGGAAGCTCTTTTTGGACTGCATCTTCAGCTGCTCTCACTGCCGGCAAGTTATGAGTATCGTGCTTCATAAAAAAATCATAAAGGGATATCTTAACAATAATGACCGGTAAAAATCTAGGTTTTATATCATTGCGGATGTCGGTGATGAACTTCTTTAAGTTGTCTTTGTATCTTTGAGCGGTGTCATTCATAGCCGCATCGCTTTCTCCTTGATACCAAAACAAAGCACGCACAACTCCACCTTCTTTTTCTGATGTTTTAATTCGTTCAATGAAATTTTGGTAAAAAGTTGCACTAGGATTGCTAGGGTTTTTAATCCATTGTTCAATTAAAGTGCCACCCCTAGCACAAGGAACTAAACCCACGATGCCGGCCTTTTGTCCAGCTTTTTCTTTGAACTGGTGAGCAAACGGTATCCCCGGACCAATCCCTGGAGTGTGACTAATGTCAATCTCCAAATGGAGAGGTTCATGTGCTATCTCCCACTGGCGCTCAGGGTTCAACCGTAGGATGGATGGGTCGGATTGACACTCTAATGGGACCTTTCCATCCCACACAAGTTTCCCGTTTTGAATTTTCTCTACCCCACCTCGACCAGCCATGTTGCTCTGACCGGCAAGGATAAATATGTTGGTGGGAGAAGTAGCCCCTGAAAGGGAAGGGCTAAACAATATCATACACAACAAGATTGATAGTATGATATTGTCTTTTCTATTGTCTTTTCTTTTCTCCCTTTGCAGGTATTCTTGTTTCGCGTGGGGTTCGTAAAACTTGTTAGGAATCACGACTCTCTACAATGGTATGATATTGTCCACTTTGAGCATATGCTCTCATGGCTTTGCTTTGGGCTTCCCGAAAAGACCTCATACCAATGGAGATAGTATTCTTCACTTATAAACCCACGATCTTCCACTAAATTAACCAATGTGGGACTCACTCCCAATAATCCTCAACAAAACTCGGTGGTCGCCAGAAAACTCAAGTTTTTCGGCGACTGAGTTTTTTCCCGAGTCATTACATTATCTATCCCTAAAAAGAACTTTCGTCCTCAAAAGTCTCAAACTCCTGTACCAACTCGGGGTATTTTTCTCTTATTTCGTCCTCACTCTCTCACGTGGCTTCCTCACTGTGGTGATTCCACCACAGCACCTCGCAATGCTCCTGTTGCGTAAGGTTTTTACTTCTTTAGCTAAGATTCCTACTGGTTTTTCCTCGTAACTCAGATCTTCATTGAGTTGGAGTGGTTCGTGGATAGGGTTCGTAATGTACTTCCTCAGCATCGACACGTGAAATACATCATGTACTCCTGAGAGGGATGGAGGTAGGACTAACTTATACGCTACTGGACCAACTCGCTCTAGGATCTCCAATGGTGCAATGAATTTAGGACTTAACTTGCCCTTATGTCCGAATCTTAACACACCTTCATAGGTGCCACCTTGAGGAATACTAGGTCCCCTATCTCAAACTCCAGGCTTTTACGCCTTACATCGGCGTAACTTTTCTATCTACTTTGAGCGGTACCCATCCTCGCTCAAATTTTCTGGACAGCCTCATTGGTGAGTCGAACCAGCTCGGATCCTACTAATTCTCTCTCTCCTACTTCTTCCCAACATAGTGAGACCTACACCATTTCCCGTACAGGGCCTCAAACGGTGCCATTCCAATAGTTGCTTGGAAGCTGTTGTTATACGAGAATTCCATCAGGTAGAGTTTGGAATCCCAACTTCCCTTAAAATCTAGTACGCAAGTGCGTAGCATGTCCTCTAGAATATGGTTTAAATGCTCCGTTTGTCCATCTGTTTGGGGGAGAAAGGCGGTACTAAAGTCAAGGCGGGTACCCAGTGCTTTTTGAAGTCCGTGCCAAAACGCTGACGTAAAGCATGGATCCCGATCGTACATATAGACACTGAGACTCCATACTATTTCTTTCACATATAGTTGTGCCCAATTGTCAATTGTATATGTAACTTTCGCAGGTAGAAAGTATGCCGACTTGGTCAACCTATCGACAACTACCCAGATCACTGTATAGCCTTTGGGCGTTTTGGGTAAACCTACTATGAAGTCCATCGCTATGTTTTCCCACTTCCACTCCAGTATGCTTAGGGGCTGCAACTACCCAGCCGCCTTTTGTCTTGGAGCTTTCACTTGATGACAAACTAAGCACTTTCTCACAAACCCGGCCACATCCCTCTTCATGCTCTTCCACCAAAAGTGTTGTTTTAAATCTTGGTACCTCCTGGATGCATGGCAAATGGCGAGTTGTGAGCTTCCATCAGTATCTCTTTCCTTAAATCTTCTATTGCCGGAACACATAAGCATCCCTGATACGATAGTCCTTCATCCGATGACTTTGAGAATCCATCTACCGGACTTTCGTCTAGCTGTCCTAGGACTTTCTGTAAGTTAGGATACTCTCTTTGGAAGGTAGTAATTCTCTGCCTAAGCGTAGGTTGTACCATGAGTCGGGCCAGTTGTATTATGACTCCCTCGGTCGCTACAGTTATGTTGGCTCACTCGAACTCTCTTTGTACCTTTACTTCCCTTGTAATGAGGGCCGACGAGTGGACCGTCTTCCTACTCAAGGCATCTGCGACCAAGTTTGCTTTTCTAGGGTGGTACTGGATATCTACATCATAATCCTTCACCAATTCTAACCACATTCTCTGCCTCATATTTAACTCTTTCTGGGTGAAGAAGTATTTCAAACTTTTGTGGTCGGTAAAAATTCTGGTTTTCTCTCCATACAGGTAATGTCGCCAGATTTCCAGCACGAACACTACAGCGGCCAACTCTAGGTCGTGGGTAGGGTAGTTCTTTTCATATTCCTTAAGTTGACGAGATGTGTATGCGACAACCTTGCCGTGTTGTATTAATTCACATCCCAGTTCTTTCATGGAGGCATCACTATAGATCACATACCCTTCTAAGCTCTCGGGTACAATGATTACTGGGGTGGTTACCAATCTCTCTTTTAGGTTCTGGAAGCTTGCCTCACAAGCATCATCCCATCTAAATGGTACCCCTTTTTTGTTAACTTTGTTAAAGGCGAGGATATTTTAGCGAAGTCTTGCACGAACCTTCGATAGTATCCCCCCAATCCTAGGAAACTCCTTACTTCCGTTACCGTAGTTGGGTGTTCTCACTTTGTGATCGCTTCGACCTTGGTGGAATCTACAGATATTCCGTCCTTTGACACCACGTGTCCTAGGAAAGAGACTTGTCGTAACCAAAATTCGCATTTAGAGAACTTGGCGTACAACTTGTGCTTTCTTAGGGTGGTTAGGACTTTTCAGAGGTGTTCCTCGTGTTCTAGGTCTATTTTTGAGTATATAAGGATGTCGTCAATGAACACGATCATGAACATGTCTAGGCATTCCTTGAATACTCAGTTCATTAACTCCATAAACACAGCTGGGGCATTGGTGAGGCTAAATGACATCACTACCAACTCGTAGTGACCGTACCTTGTCCTAAACGCCATTTTTGGTACGTCTTTTTCATTAATCCTAATTTGGTGGTAACCGGATCGAAGATCTATCTTGGAGAATACAGTTGCCTCTCTGAGTTGATCAAACAAGTCTTATGTTCTAGGCAGAGGATATTTGTTTTTTATGGTTATCTTATTTAGCTCTCTGTAATCGATGCACAGACGCATCGATCCATCTTTCTTCTTAACAAACAACACTGGTGCACCTAGGGGGACACGCTAGGTCGAATGAATTCTTTATCTAGTAAGTCTTGCAATTGCGCCTTGAGTTCCTTCAACTTTACTGGCGGCGATAGGGTGCTTTGGAAATAGGCCCAGTTTTCGGCTCGAGTTCGATGACGAAGTCAACCGCTCGGAGGGGGTATTCTAGGTAAGTCATCCAGAAATACATCCGGGAACTCGTTTACTATTGGCACGTTTACTAGGGTCTTTTCCTTTCCTCCTACGTCTACAGCACATGCTAATATAGTCCATCCACCTTGTTGGACTAACCTCTTTGCTTTCATCATCGAGACTAACTTGGGGGTAATTCCGGTACTTGTGCCTTTAAATTTAAAGGTAGGTCCTGTCGGTGGTGAAAATTTTACTTCCTTTTTGCGACAGTCTATACTAGCTCGGTTTTCAGCTAGCCAATCCATGCCTAGTAAGACGACGAAATCCGTCATATTTGCCACCATCAGGTTAACGTTTAAAGTTTGGTTCCCTATGATTACTTGATCATCCTTTACTCTATCCCTAGATACTAAGTCTACCCCCGCAGGGGTGCTTACAGACATTTCATGCAATAAAGGTTCTAATTCGAACCCTGCTTGTACAACAAAAGGCATGGAAATAAAGGAATGTGTGGAACCAGAATCAAATAAGGTAAAAGCGAAATGACCTAAAATGGATAGTGTACCTGTCACCACGCCGTAGACCTCCCAGTGTCCTTGCACGTTGACGCGTAGGCCCTAGCTTGAGCTCTAGTGGTACTGGTTGTTCCATTTGCTCTACTACTTTGGGCGGGTTTGCTTGTGCTGTAGCGTTTCCAGCTGTGTAGTTCACGGTGATGTGCCCCTCTTGACCACATCTATAACACGCTCGGCTGCCAGTCATGCACCTCCCACCGTGTAGTCTTCCACAGATAGTGCACCCTTCCTCTCTCCTCCCTCTGGCCCCATCTTGATTCCTGGGGTTTCTATGAGTACGTCGAGAAGGGTGTCGCTCATTCCATCTAGGAGCAGATCTGTTGTTGGAACGGTGCCTACGTGTTGGTGGTGGACAGCCAGAGCCTCCTGATTCATGAGGACGCTTCTGCCCAATTACTATTGTCTCTTCTCGTCGTTTCTCATCCTTTGGTTTCTCTAAAGCCTTGGCAGTTCTCAAGGCTTCCTCATAGGTCTTTGGGTTGAACGCCTCCCACATGCGGCGGATTCTGGGTTCCAGATCCAATACAAACTTCTCTGTCGTCTTTTCCTCAGTGTCCACCATGGACGGCGCAAATCTCTTGAGTCTCTTAAACTCTCAGTTGTACTTCTCCACCGTGAGTCCGCCCTGTACTAGGTGGGCGAACTCCTGCTGTCTTTTAAGTCGCTCTGACTTAGGATAATATTCTTTAAGGAAGGTCTCCTTAAACCGTTTCCAGTTCATAGGTCCCCCTTCTGGGTTAAGGAGGGTTTTGTTATCTCTCCACCATATCTCCGCGTCCTATTGTGGGACGAATGTTGCACAGGCGACCTTTTGGTTCTCTAGGCACTCCATAGTCTGAAAGGTGATTTCTACTGCTGTAATCCACATTTGGGGTTCTATGGGGTCTACTAAGGAACCAATGAATGGTCAAGGGTCATATCTCTTGAAATCCCTCATCCAGTTTGAACATCTAATAGGTTGTGGAGGGTTTTCTAGGGCGTTGGCCTGAGCATTGGCCTGTGCTTGTGCCTGTGCCAGTGCCAACGCCTGTGCTTGGGCCTGTTCCTGAGCCTGTTGTAAATTGGCTTGTTGAGTGGTTACCAAGGTTTGAATTAGGACTTGGATTGAGTCACACATTAACTTAGTGTTAGCATCTACTCTAGCCGCCGGGGGTGCAGCTTTAGGTGCGGCTTGGAGTGGTAGGGCAGGCTGGGGTGGAGGTTCAGCTTGTGGTGGAGTTTCAGCTTGGAGTGGAGGCTCTAGAGGTGGTAAGACTGGCGGCGACGTAACTGTACCGACCCAGTTTCTGATCTTTCTCGAGGTGGGCCCTCTACTGCCACACCTCGTCCGATTTCTCCACGACCAGGTTGCCCCCATCCTTGTCTTCCTCTTTCCCTTCCTCTTCTTCGTCCTCTGGGCATGGTTCTATAAACCAATATAAGGTTGCTAAGTCTAAGGCCTTAATACTATGCATATATAAATAACAATATACACATTATACGATACATCGTAACGCCACAGAAATTTCAGTAACCTCCACATCATGAGATCACAGTAACCTCCACATCATGAGATCATGCTAAATATCACATAATTTCAGTAATATTAACATAAAAATGCACGGGAGTTTTAAAACATTTCTCTTTTCTTATCTTATGCAAGGCGTACCTAACGGTGACGGGGCATCGACGTTGGGACTATGGAGCGTGCCAAGCCTACATCGTAGGCTAGTCTATAGAATCTAAAACCTAGAGCTCTGATACCAACTATAACGACCCTAAATTTCCACATATCTAGAGACGACACTAACGTCTCATGCTCATCTCTAATGCATAATATAAATCTAAGAATGCTCATCTTTATCAGTGGAAAAATTTAAAACTTCAGAATACGTTCAAACATTAGAAAACACTGCCAGACTTACGTGTTTCAAACATCATACTAGAGTTCAAAATAAGATAAAAACAATTACAAATTAAATAATTTAAATAAATGAATAAATGAAATGCCTAACAAAGTCTAGGAAAACAATATGGCATGCTAATGCAAACACATGCAATCATGAATTAGGGACCGATGTGTAGTACTTCCCTACACACGACTGAGACGTGTGAATCCCCAAGGCGCTAGCACACCCCCTGGACCCTCTGGTCAAGCTAATCTCTATAGCGACATCCGAAGGTCAGCGGAACCCCATAGTGTAATGCACTTCATGAACACACTCATTTGTGTGCTTTTGTACCTGTGCGCATTCACGCTCATCATACGATGCACGTCCGCACTCATCATCTCTAGGTGAAGTAGCCCTATACTTATGAACATACAGTATGCATCTCTTCTAACACAACCCTCTAGTCTCATCTCTTTGTTACACTTTGTAATCCGATCTAACGACATGATGCAATATGGCAAACAACATCAATATGGAAAACATACGCTCATTCGATGCATCAACTATGGTTATTTCATATCCTCCTTTTTCTTTTCGTAACTTGGTTTAGATTCCATATTTGTCATCTTATATATTTATTTCCTTACAAAACGTAGTAGATCATTTCCTTACATTTTGTTCATTTCTCCCTAACATCTTGGTCATTTCTCCCTTCTTGGTTTACCATTTATATTGAATTGAAAGGTTGGTCATTTTCATATATAATGTTGGCATGCCATAATAGGCTTAGCATTAAAATTTTATGGGCAGCAAAGTTTATTTAATTGGATTAAGGGTCTTGACTCACGATAGCACCAATAATAACCTAGCTGATACTTACTTAAATCTCATAAACATGATGAATCAACGTCGACTATAACCCCTAGCCTTCCAAGCTAACGATGCGGGTTCGATTCCCGCTATCCGCTTATCTTATTCTTATTATATATATTCTTATATATATTATAAATATAATAAATTATTCATTAATTAATTGAAATTTTTCAATTAATTAAAAATTAAAATGGAATTACTCAAATCAAAATTTTAACATTACTTAATTTTAAGTAATGTATTACTTAATGTAATGCATCATTGAATTGAATACGCAATTTCCGGAATTGTCACACATTTTTTTTACGAACAAGAGAGGTGAAAATACGAAAAAAAAAACTGNAAAGATTGTTATAATCTCCTCTTGTATAGGGATCATCTATAAAGCGTGTCCTTTTGAATGCATTCAGACGGAAAGGCTGACATAGATGTTATGTATGGGTGGCATTTTTTTTTTCTTTACATCTTACATGTAAGAATTTATCCATCTTCCATAAAGGAGCCGAATGAAACCAAAGTTTCACGTTCGGTTTTGAATTAGAGACGTTCAAAATGATGAATCAACGTCGACTATAACCCCTAGCCTTCCAAGCTAACGATGCGGGTTCGATTCCCGCTATCCGCTTATCTTATTCTTATTATATATATTCTTATATATATTATAAATATAA